GCAGGCAGACATTTAAAAACCAGAACATCGTAATCATATTAGACATAACATTTCTGTCCGTTCTGTCATAACGGAGCACAGGCTACAGTATGACCATGATTTCCAATGGGATAAGGTTAAAATTTTAGATGAAGAGCCTTGCTATAAGAAACGCTTAATTTCCGAGATGCTCAATATTAAGAAGCAAAAAAACAATTTGAATTTACAAACTGATACTGAAGGTCTTCATAAGGCATACATACCTATTATAAATAAAGTTTAACTTTTTGATACTGTATGGTCTGTCTCTTCTCTTAGTCCGTGGTGATCCGTATCAGGGAGCATACACAACAATCGACACACAATACCCGTCTTTCACGTCTGTGTTTCGTTTGTCTTTATATATTCCAATGGCTATTTTCTATACTTACAATATATGAACACACTTATTTGAGTAATTTACATATGTTTTTTGATGAGTTTTTATTCCTTATTAGAATTCCGATATATTAAATTATTTGCGTTTTATTTTTTTGTAAGAAGTCTTTTTACTTTTTTTTTATCAACTAGAACTTTCCCAAGAGATATGATACACTTTTGATTGTTCAATCATACGTGAATAATGTCGAGTTCTACATCAAGACTCATCCGAACTATGAATATTATGAATATGCGAACATTTGCGATTATTATTTGCGACAATTATTAATTGTACTACTGTTTTTTGATATGTTTAATGTCTGAAAAGAGCTCAATTTGGTAGCCAAAACTTATAACTTTTTACTTTTTCATTATGTAAATTTACCTCTCTTTATTTGTAATATATTCTTTTAATATTTCTTTTTGTATGATTTTTTAAAAGAAATGTGTCGACTCTTACTTTGCCCTTTATTTATTATTATTTATTTTTTAAAATTTGGAACACAAAAATTCCATCTTTCAAAAAAATATGTTAAAATATTAACATTTTTCTGTGCATATACTAAAATTTTTCAAGGATAATAAAAAGATATTACGAATACATAGTGCAAACTATATATGCAAAATATATATTCGATTATCTCAATTTATAATAATCAAAACAATTTAGAAGAAATCATATTCTGATGCCAAAGTTGATCAACAATAATAGAATGATAATGATAATAATAATAAAATGGTGAAATTTACATAAAATATATATACACACATATAGGATGCTTTAAAATTCGCTCCCGCAAAGCAAGACGTCCTACTTATGTTAAAAGAAACAACTTTTTCTTTTTGCAAAATTGCGTCTGACAAGTAGTTTTTGCAACAGAATAAGTTGAAGTTAATAAATAAGAGCTCTGATCTACTCGTATGTGGCGTCCAGAGCCGGCGCGCGCTCCTCGTTCATTCTTGTATCTGGCTAAGTAATTGGCTAGTATTCATAAGTAATATTTTAAAATACTAATATACGGCTTTGTTATAATTAGTTTACGACTGCTTATAACTACCATACGCAATTGTGCAATATTTAAAAGAATAGAACTTTCAATAAAGCATCAAACATATTATTATTTACATTTGTTTTTACTTTCAGATAGACCTGATAGATCTACGAAATTAGACAATTTTTTTAACTATTTACTTATTATTACGTAAAAAATGAAAGCAATAATTTATTCTCCTATCTTTTCATTTTTTAAGCAATACATTATAAAAGAAGATCATGGTCAAGTATTCACGTAATTGATTCTTATAACTTAAGACATACAGGCTTAAATAGTCGTAAACTAATTATAACACATATTAATATTTTACAATATTACTTATAAATTAAGGATTATATAGATGTAAGTGAACAAGGAGCGCGTGTCCTGAGCGCCACGTAGATCAGAGTGCTTACGAGCTCGTATTTGTTAACTTCAACCTGTTTTCCTGCAAAAACTATTTGTCAAATGTAATTTTGCAAAAGAAAAAAATAGTTTCTTTTAGCATAAAGTATGACGTCTTGTACTTCGCAGGCGCAAATTTTGAAATACCTTGTAGAGGGTTTTAAATAATGCATTAAGATTTCTCGAAAACTATGTAGATACGGAAAAATGTGTCAAATAAAAGTTGTGTGATTCGGAGCGGGATATAAAAGGTATCATTGATTTGACCTTGTATGGCGTCGTCAAGATCAGGTCAAGGTCTCATCAATTTTTTTAAATAGAACACTATTTTAAAATTTGTATAAGGAAAAATTTGAATAAGGAATCTTGGTTAGTTTGATTTGTAATACGGATTCAAATCAAACTAACCAAGACTCTTTATAAAGCAAAGAACTGAAAAGGATATGGACAGTAGAAGTCAAGCGCAGAAGACGTCGCGCAAATAATATATCTATGAAATGTGAAACTTTTTTATTCACTAAAACGCGCTTACATGTTTCGGCTCACTTTTGAGTCTTCCTCAGAGACAACACAAACTATTGATAGAATAATTTTTTATTTACAGTTTATTTATGTTAGTTTGTGTTGTTTCTGAGGAGCGCTCAAAAGTGAGCCAAAACATGTAAGCGCGTTTAGTGAATAAAGAAGTCTTCTGCGCTTGACTCTTACTGCCCATATCCTTTCCAGT